CTGTGCCAGGGTCACTGCCCCCCGTGAGGTGCCCTCCCTGTGTCCACTCTGGAGGCTTGGTGTGCTGGGGCGTCAAGCTTCCCTGGCACAGGTCTAGCGAGACGGAGCCACTCCCTAGCTTTTCCCCACTTCTTCGGTGCCGCTTTTGCTCTTCCGAGCAGGCGCAGGAGCCAGTGGGTTCCTTGGTTGGACTGCAGGGCTGGGTTGGTTGCGAAAGGAGGAAAAAAACCGCATCCTTTGCACCCCGTGTTTGGAGCAGGGGAAGTATTTCCCCAGGCTGGCAGAAAGGCCCATTGCTTGTGTCGGTCTGTCTTGGCCCCGCTCCGGCCGACCCGCAGGGTTGCGCTTGCGGAGGACGCTGCATGTGGTTGCTCCTGGGGTGAGCTGAGGGCGCCCCGCGAGTGGGCCCATGCTGTTTGCAGCCCGTGGTGCGGTGCGGCGCGGCATGGCAAGCTGGACTCGGTCACGAATCCGCGTGCGTGTGTGCCAGCCCTGCACGTTTCGGCCCTCTGGAAACTTCCTGGGGTTTGGGCAGCCTCAGGAGGATGCCTGACACAGTCCTTTACTGTTTCCTCTGGTCAGTAATGTTGGGTGCTGCTCCTTTGCAAGTTCGGGTGATCTTGCAGGGCTCGCACGTCAGGATCTCAGATCCAAGCTCTTCCTAGCAGTGTTGTTCTAGAGCCGAGTCTGAATTGTATTTATTTGTTTGTTTTATGTTTAGAGGAAACTAATGTCTAGTTCAGGAAACTGGCATTGAGCAAGTGACCTGAGCTGAATAACTTGTTTGGGGATTCTGGGTACTGAAGTGATGGAAATGTTGACCAAAGAGTGGAGCAAAATGTCTCCTTTGTGGATGTCAGTCTTTTTCTTCTTCTTTTTTAAATTGTCTGATTTTTCTCTGTGTGTAAAAAGCAATATGAAAATAAAGAGGGGGTTAAGCACAATTTTTATTTGCTCTCAGATTTGCTTGGCAACCAAACCCTTTGTCGTCAGCTTGAAAATGCATTATTCAGTTTGTGGAAAGAACCCAAAATTTGTCTTTTTCATTCTTAGTAATTGTCTCTCTGCAATGTTTACCATCTTGCCCCTCTATTGTTATTGGCTGTAACGAGAGCTGCTGTTACAGTAAGA